TCTTCCTTCATCTATCAAATATATAGGCTGAAAGTCTATTTATTATATATATAAATATATATATAAATATTATATATAAATATTATATATAAATATTATATATAAATATAAATCTATATTTATATATAATATTGTAGGTATTTACATATATATTTATATATATTTACACTGCACATTTCTTCCTTCAAAAAGATACATCTATCACCAGTTATCCAAACAAATATATAGGCTGAAAGTATATATATTTACTATTTTTATATATTTTACATATTTGTGTATATAGTATTATATACATTTATATGTTATATTATAGATATTAATATATATATTTATATATTTACACTACATTTCCTCCTTCAAAAATATACCTCTCTCCAGTTATCTAAACAAATATATAGGCTGAAAGTCTATCTATTTATTATATATATATAATCTATATTTATATATTATATTGTAGATATTTATTTATATATTTACATCTCTTTATATATTTACACTGTATATTTCTTCCTTCAGAAAGATACATCTATCTCTAGTTATCTAAACATATATAGGCTGAAAGTCTATTCATTATTTTATATATTTTATATATTATTATCTATATTTATATATTATATTGTAGATATTTTTATATATTTATATATTCATATACATATATTACACTACACAAAGATACATCTATCTCCAGTTATCTAAACAAATATATAGGCTGAGAGTACATATATTTATTTATATATATTATCTATTATTATCCATATTTATATATTATATTGTAGGTATTTATTTATATATAAATATGTATATATACATACGCACTGCACATTTCTTCCTTCGAAAAGATACTTCTATCTCCAGTTATCCAAACAAATATGTAGGCTGAAAGTCCCAGACCTCCAGCTTTACTTCTCATTCTGTGAGTGGAATTTGCTCACATACTTTCACAGCTAAAAGTGATGTAAAGGATTGCTTGGTTAGATTATTTTTCACTTACAGCTTTTGACGTTTTCTGTGAAATTCTTATGCAGAACAGAATTTAAAATCCATAAGTAAGCCTACTGCCTCCTTCTTCATAAAAGTAAGAATCACAAATTTTGACGCACTCAAAGTAAAGTACTTTTAGAATACTAAATACTTTTAGAATAGTAAGAATACTTTTTAGTACTTTTAGAATACTAAGAATAGTTTTAGAATACTAGGAATACTTTCTTTTCAACTACTTTTCTCTTTCAAACAGGCAAAAAACCACAGAAGTTACCTATGGAGCTGATCAACAGAACAAAATAGAACAGCGAAAAATATTCTCCCTGAACAATTGTTTCTGTCAAAATGTGGTTTAAACAAATTCTGGCTCCAGTTAACTGCAGTTCTCTGGTGGTTTGAGCTCTTTTAAAGCTTCATTAGAAAACACACACTGTGAGAGTATTTGTATCCAAATGTCTGCAGCACACTATGGTAAATTCAGCCCTCAGCACGGATGAACAATTTCAAATATAATTTTAAAAATACATTTGAATGTAAGTAAAACTTACACTAATTCACTTATGCATATTCAGCACCCAAAGCTGCAGTAAAAACAGACTGTCTCCCCTCACCCTTTCACAGAGACATCAGCATGAGTTATGCCTATGTTTACTTCACAGAGGGAGTCTGAAGATTTAAAAATTCATAAATCCATCACTGGTTTTATTTTCCATCCTGTTTAATAGGAAACCTCAATCTCGAATTTCCCAAGGAGGAAACGTTCTCCCTGGAATCTTACAGAATTTTTTACTGCATAAACTATCAATTATTTTCCCAGCAAACAAGCCAGGTTCATAGGGCAGAGTCAGAAGGAAGAGAAAGGAGGGGAATGTTTTTGTGGATTGTTATCTACAGACCAAATGGAAGATCTTCAGCCATTTTGCTCCTTCAAGGTACATCAAAGAATCTCCTATTTAAGGTGTGAAAATGTCAGTTACGTTCTTCACCTCAGAAAATGAGCAGAGCTCTGAATGTGATTTATGTCCCACCCTTGCACTTTTCTCTTTTAGGAGCTGAGACTCTTCTTTTCAACTTCCCTCCAGCTAATGCCATTTAATGCTCTCAGAACTATCAGGCTAAATTCAAATTTTCTGCTCCTCAGAGGCTGTTGTTATGCACCACAGCACATTCCAATTGCAAACACACACCAATGCTCCCATGTATATTCCAAGTCGTTTTTTTACTCACAAATCCTGCTAAATTGTAAGTTAGGAGGCACTACTTGAATTCTCTTAGGTCTTTAGAAAGCTTTTAGATGTACCATGAGTAATAACATGTAATGAATATGAACAGATATTTCGTCTCTGTATTTACACTGAGTTGGCAATTTACATTTTCTAGATAGATGAATTATAGCCAGCCTTCCCAGTACTCTGGCAATTACTTCTTACAAACCCCTGACAGGCTCAAACCTCCAGAATCACATCTGTTATTCTTGGTTTGATCCCTCTTTTTTAAATTAAAACCAGTAGCTTTATCAGCAAACGAGAAAATGCTTTTCCCCCCGCTCTGGAAATACTGACAAAACTGCACATAAATTGAACATGCCAACTTATTTCTTGTTAGGGGTTGGCACATCTTCTGGGTTAATGACCAGTGCTCCATTTCTGTGACACAACTAATTGGGGTAAGGAGGCTGTAAATACACACAAAATCCCACAAATTCTCCTCCTTTGGGGTAGTCTGAAGATTTATAGGAATAGAGCAAGATGTGATTGGAGGAGAGAGAGAATAAAAATTTAAGGAGGGGTAAAATTCTTGTCTCATCACTCTGTCTCAGCTCCCAGGCACAGAACAAATTTAGAGCAGATTTTACTAATATTTCAGAGGAAGGACTTTTCCTTCCTCTGAACGACTGGCTAAAATAGAAAAAAATCACATTTTCTACAATCTGTCATTATTAAAAAAATAAAGAGGGAAAATGCATGGACACCACCACATTTCTGCTCTCAACACAGACTGGCTGACCGATCTAAAAAGCTGTATTGAAAATACAGCTCAACTCCACACCAAGAGTTGCTCAAGACATGATTTGACAACAATTTTTGGCAGCTAAACACAAATGAAGATCAAGAGAGAGGGGTCCTCACTTGGTTCGAGCTCAGTGTCAATTTCTAACAATCTAGCTTCATTTATCATGCATCACTAATGGGAAAAAATCCAGCTAGCAATGGATTATAGGAAAGATTAATTCAGGTTTGTCTTCCATGACTAGGTCAGGAGACACATGCCATTCACTTTTTACAGCTCAGACAACTCAGGGTCTTGGTGTGATGGCCCTTAATATTCCAGAGCAAACATTCCAAATCCATGTGCACACCTACAAACTGAAAGAACTCCAAATGCAGCTGGAGACAAACGGATTACAGGTTTCCACTACAGATTTGGGAAGGAGAAGAGAAGAAATAGGAACATGATCTATTGCCAGTATGTATAAATGTAAAGGTGCATCACACGGTTCTCTCCTGTGCTCTCCAGGTCTCTCCTGAGGGCTGTAGGAAGCTGAGTTCATTAAATCTGATCCAAATAAATTTGGAAATATGCCTGCCCTCCCTAATCACTGCAGAGGCCCTCCAAGTGTGATGCACACACACAAAAGCAGCTGAACACAATCCCAACCTCAGCAGCAAGCCTTCCTCAGCTCCTCAGCCTGCAGCAAGCCTCACACCCACCTCACTACCCAAGGCCTTCTGTGCTGCTGTTACAAAAAAATTACTTTGAAATGTCTCAAGGAGATGATTCCTAACCTGAATTAAGATCATCTTTCCCAATTTGCTGATATTGCAAGGATTTAGGGCATTACCTTTTTTTTTTAGCTAAGCAATGTCAGGCTGATTTAAACTAGTAGCTAAAGGCTATGACTTAAATTAAAAGATTAGCAGCTCAAGTCAAGAATGTGAGATACAGAGCTAGATCACAGCTTTCCAGCCAGCACTGATGCATACAATGTGACCAGGAGAAAGCATTGTCAGAGGCATCAACATGTGTGGTGTCACCAACCACCAAGGTCTGCAGACCAAGGCAACAAAGATGAGCCGAAGGGGAAAATTCCTAATGCATGCATAGGTTTGTCCCATTTCCTGGTTCAACCCCTCTCCTGCTTTCACCTTTAAAGCAAGCCTGACATCAAAAATAAGTTATAAGCTCATAATAAGCCCTTCTTAGAGGTGTGCATAAATTAGCATCTCGGTGCCGCTGCTGACAATTGAGAATTCCAAGCAACAGAGTGATTATCACCATCACTCAAGTTCAGGTCTCTGGTAAAGCCTGAGAGGACTGTGGCTGCTCTCAGCATGAGAATTTAGAACAAGTGCTACCCAAGGCTCCAGAGAAAGATGTCAGGCATCACAATTAAATGACATGTAGAAAAAAACAAGGCAGGATCTCCTTAGCACAAAACTGGGCAGCAATCTTTCCTGCATGACACGCTTGACACATGGGTGGAATGAGACCAAAAGTGGTTTGAAATTCTGTTATCACAGCTTCACAAGCAAAAGAAAACAATGCCCAGAACTGCTCAAAAAATAAGGTTTAAGCACCTGCTGCCTTGTGCCCTTGTGCTGTGTGGGTGTTAAATGCCACCACACCAATCTATTAGCACAGCAGATATAAATAGCTCAGCAGTATAGGATGTAATGGAGTTCCCTTAATATGTCCCAAAATGCCACCACAGTTCATCCACAAGCACAGAGTCAGTATTGACTCCACAGTTCAGGGGCATTCAGCAGGCAGAACAGAAATAGTTACAGTTCCTTTTGTCTTATTTCACACACATGGCTAAACAGAGATTATCTATCCAAAAAAGAAAAGGAAAAAAAATTTTAAAAAAAAGAAAAGCAACGGTGTCAGAATGGTTACAGCTAAGTCTGATTCTGTTCTGCAGGGCAATGCAACAAAGCAGCTTCATGCAGGTTCAACAGGAATGATTCCTGCTGGGGTTCAAGCAATAAACAGCAAAGAAAGTTGAAATTGAGACTTACCACGGGGCACCATATATTCGGAATCCTTTAACTGTTACCTCTGAATCTTGTAAGTAAATACTATTTGTCAGGAGTGACTGAACATTGTCAAAGTCCTCTGGTTTCAATTTGGACACAGAGGGAAAGCGGTAGTAATCTTGTTTAACAAGGTCTGCCATGAATTCCTTATCAAATGTCAGTTCATGATTCCCAGCAATCACTATTTTATATTCATATGGTAGGTTTCCTGAAATAACAAAAAAGAGGACTTCATTAGCACATTTCCACCCACAACAAGCAGCCAGCCAGCAGTGACAGAGTGGGACACCCGAGGCCTGGGAGCATCTCCACGCTGGGCACAGGACACGGACGCTGCTCCTCCTGCACTCAGTGAACAGGCCCAAAATGCACAGGGATGGCACACAAAAAAATGCATGTATAGCCACGGCACGGCACAGAGCCCGTGCTGCAGGGCCCAGCAACACCAGCTGCTGGGAGTCAAACCAGCTCCAGAGGGGGCATGGAACACCACTGCTGGGTTATTCCCCTGAACAGGACCAGCAGGCTTCAATCCAGGTCAGCCCCCAGAGTGACCTGCAGGGAGCAGAGACTGCAGCATGCCTGCCAGCCACGTCCTGAGAGCACCAGAGCACACTGCTGGGGCTGGTGGTTTTAAAATTATGGCTTCATTTGGATTCATCTGTATTCCAGTGGCGTTTATTGGTTGGAACCCTGGGTGCTGAGAATTTCAGACTTTCTGTGCTGACAGGCACTGACCCACAAGGGAACACTGCATTGACCTGAGGCTGTGGAGAAGGCTTCCAAAATGGAATGACAGAACTGGGATTGTGGGTGTGGAGTTTGAATAGAAGTGTGTGATATCACAGGGTGGAAAACTCAGAGTTTAAGGTTTTAAAATATGGTAATATATATAAAGCAAGATGGAGGTTTTAGGGTGGAGGCTGATCCTTCTTCACCTCCTTCTTCATAGATAGTATTGTGTAACTGGATTAAAAAGTGCACCTTGCAGGCACGAATGGTTGGTTATTGGGTTAAAAGCAAAAATAATTTACATATCATTTCTTAATTTGACAGTTTATCCTTAAAAGGCCTTGTAGAGAAAGAGATGGGGCTCCATTTTTAGTTTGTTGAAGTGAAGTGCTGCAGAACTCAGGGTTTGTGAGACTAGAACAGAGATAAGAACCAATAAACATCTGAGTCTGAATAAAAAAATACCATCTTACACATTTAATCCTGACCTTGGCAAAAAAGAAGCAAAGAATCCACATTTATTTGAGACCTAGTCTATTCCCCAAAGCTTCAATTCATTTGCAACGTACTTTTATATTAATATTAATATTATTTTTGTTAGGTTTATGGCAGTATCTCAGTTCTTGTAAAAAGCACACAAGTAGAAACAACCACAAAACTCAGCCACATAAGACAAACCAGGAAAAAGGAAAATCTGATTAATCCATTCACCATCAGAGTCAGAAATAAAGAATCACACGTTTGCTCCCCTCAATTCAGGGGAACTAATACCGTTGTTTGGAAGGAGGCATGGATCATGCTCACGGAGCCAGATTTTTGGAGCTCAGAACAGATTTTCAAGCACTTGGTACCAGCAATCAGTGCCAGATCTTCCAAATAAACATACTGGGTGCTGAGCTCCCATAAAAATGCAGTCCCATACTGTGGTGTCTTCACAGAAGTTAGGCTCTCTTACAAAATCTGTCCCACTGAGACTTGCCAAAAATCAACACGTAGGATTGCATCAAAGCTAACTGCTCCTGCCTTCAGCACAAGCCTGATTTCTTAGCCTCATACCTTGTCCTTCATTATGGTCTTTATTACTCAGAATCATTTAGAAATGGTTGGGTTTGTTATGGGGATTTCTGTGCAGTTTGTCTTTGGGGTTTTTTTGTTGTGTTTTTGTTTGATTTTTTTTTTTTTTTCCCTCATAAAGGCAGCGAAATGAAATGGAAATCTGTGGGTTTGTCTTCCAGGTCTGGAACTCAATACATCTGTCCCAGGGAAGACAGAATCAGATGCTACACATTTCTTGTGAGTACAGTTCTCCTAAACAGAAGTGGCTTTGCTAGTTTAAACTTGCCTTTCTACTTTTGAAACTATTTGGGTTTGGGTTCTTTTTAAAAGTGAGCTTCAGAGTAAAGCTGTAAGTATATACAAGAAGATTAACTTTTCCCCTAAACAGGACTTACAGGGGAACCAGTCAAACCCCTCTGCTTTTTCAGCATTTACAGCACAGAAACAGGAATTACATGAGGCACGCATGCAAACATCATCTTTGCAAAAATTAGTGAATTCTGGATGGAAAACCAAAAAGCTACAAATCCCTTGAAAAAACCAAGCAGACTATGTTTTTCATAGACACCTCGGGTCTGAACAAAATACATATGCATAACTCTCTGTGGTGCTGCATTAGAATAAAAGCTGGGGAGATACAATAAATGCTCCTCTACAGTTTTTGACTCCTTTTTTTCCCACTTTCCTCCCCTTCCCCATCTCTTCTACGTGCTGCTCTGCAATGCATTTTTATTTAAAAACTCTGCATGGCATGTACCTACAATTCCCGCTCTCTGTGACTCCTGGGTTTATTTAAAAACTCTGCATGGCATGTACCTACAATTCCTGCTCACAAGATAAAACTGCTATTTTCTCTTCTCCCAGGAAACATAAAAGATACCACCAGCATGAAATTGATACACTTGTCATAACCATCAATCCCCCAAAACAAGCTAGGTGTGATAATATTCTCAGAGAAGTGGGATGGAGGAGTTAAATTCAGGTTTCTGCTAAGTTATCAACATTTGCCTGCTTTAACACAGAAAACTCTTCATCTTACTTGATACACGTCCAAGCTTTACACTTTCATTTATTTTGATAGACTTGAAAACCAGCACGTTTTGCTGATATTATGCCCAATTAAGCCTGCAGCATTTTTGCCCAGTACCTTTTTTATCTTGACGTTTTAAAAATAAGAGCTTACTTTGAAGGCACACAGGACATGCAAAGGCAAACCAGGGGTGACATCAGTAATTATTAAAACACATAAATGGAGCTTGTAACATGTATACATGTTATATAAGCACCTGAAATCTGTAGGGGAAACCCAGAGAGTATTTCTTGCAATTGGTGTGAAGACAGCTGTTGGTATTTTCAGGACTAAGATACATCAAAAGCCAGGGCAGCAGCAAGAGAAAGTCTCATTCAATTCTTCTATCTTCCTTGAGGAAAAGGACTATATAGCACTAATCACAGTAATAAATTACCTGCAATCAGGTCAGCTATTTATTCATCACATTCTGGTTTTTCCTTCTTGAGAGGCCCCGTGGCATTGCACAACATCCACTCTCTCTGATATAATTTCTGAAATACTTTGTTTTCTTTTGGCAGACCTGCCCTTTGTCTACAATCTGTTGACCTTGTGTTTAATATGGAAACATAAACAGTCATCTTCAAAAATCTCGTACTCCATGGTAATTTAGTTTTATCTTGACCAGATTAATCTCTCTGTATCTGCATCAGTGCTGCCTGTACAGCACAACACACAGGTTGGAAGGCTTTTCCTCATTTTCCTTCACTAAATCTTTGTTAGTCACATTTGGTCTTTATTAGTCTGATTTCCTAACTATCAAATCTTCCATTATGCATCAGCATCATCATTCATTCTAAATTTATACTGTGACTCTGGAAAACAATTAGAAGAATCCTTTTCCAAACTAGAAAAAGTGGGATCTGTTTGCTGGGCCAAGCACTTCAAAAACCCCAATTATTAACTCCCAGCATAATCACTGAGTTTATTTAAAATACTTAAATGTTTAACAGGTGAGATCAAAAGGCTAAAATTACAGCTACCAAAAACAACCAGGGCACTAAGTCTGTGAAGCAGAGTCACTTATACTGGAGTATTTGAAACCCATATTTATGTGTATGTACACACACACACAGGGTGTGCACATATGTATCTTCAAAATATATCTATTATTTTGGTTCACATGTTTTTCAACAACTCTCAACAGAACAAACAAGGGCACAGTATAATCATTGATCAAGAAAATACTGCGATTAAACAAGTTGTTCTCTTCTGGAAGCCAAAAGGTCAATACTGCTCTTCTCAAACAAAGACAACAATGGTTATCTCTGAATGCCTTGTAAAAATTGAATTGTTTACAGTATATGCATTAATCTGGGAGTCTCAGAAAACTCCTGTGACTTCTGGTCTAACAAGCCAACCTTCAAGCTCCAGTCCCAGGTACCTTTGTCCCCCAGAGGTTCATCTTTACTCCTGTGCCATGACACCTTCCTGCCAGCACAAGGATTCGGTGGGCACAGAGCAGAGTGGATCAGATGAAAATGGAAAATGACGAAAAGATGAAAAAGGATGCGTCAAAACAGGAGTGGGGGTCTGTGAATGCTGCTCAGGCAGAACTTCTATTGCTGGCTGCAGCCACTTACACCACTCCAAGTGTCAGCTGCACAACAGACTGACTTAAAATATGTCTATTACATGGGACAAGGGGGCAAGCTTGGGGGCCAGGGGGCTGTGGGGTTTTTTTAACCTACCTAAGGAGTTGTTTCAGTGGGTTTCTTTAAATTCACCTTAAGCACTTGGAGCCTAGGAAGCCTTAATCTGTTGAACAGCCATTCCCATTTTAATAGCATGCTTCATATGAGTACAGTTTAGTCACACAACCCAAGTTCTGTAGAGCTGCCAGACATGAAAAGGAGTGTGCCTGGCAGTGAACATTAACTGCTGAGCCCCTATAAAAATAGAAAATCACATTATTTTTCTACTACTGCTACCTGCAAACCACACAGGGAATAAGTAGGGGAATAAGAAATAATGTGATACTAGCTGTCTGTATAGTGGTAGAAACCTGTATTTACACACAAATGATATGCAAGGGGTTTTGATGCAAAGCTCTGAATATGCATACGCATGCATTAACTATTCAAACCACACACCACTCAAATGAAACATGGAGCTTTTTTCATGCCTGTTTCATAGCCTCATAAACCCTTTGGCCATATGCTGAGAAACAGCCTGAGAAGCCTTGAAGTATAAATTTTAAAAAGAGGGAAAACTGCACAAGAGAGAGATGTGCGTGCAAGTGAATCATCTTAAATGTATGGTATTTTGTGCACGCCCCGAAAGTGCAAAACTGGCCATGGAGCATTTCCCCATAACCAGCCCCACACATACACAGGGGTAAACAGAGAAGG